GTAGCATATTATGATATTTTACTTTGCACAGAAAGTTCATTAAGTGCTGTTCATGACAAAATCATACAGAGATAATATGATTTCGAATGTTCTGACGACATTGTTAAAGAGGAAGACTTCATTCCTAATTTATCAGACTTATTGATTTAAATGATAATTGATTCATATTTCATTGCACACCTCATAACGCGAATTAGGTACTGCTTTACCCTCGACACGTCATGTTCAAGCAAATTTGTGTTCTTAAAATGCCTCTATCATAACCATATTGAGGTTACACAATAATATGAGTAGCCGTATATCAAGAAAACACTCAAATTAATCATTCTTATATTTTCTAAAAAAAATATTTTATATTGCTGTGATATACGTGGACTTACGAATGTTGATTTTGTATGTGGGCACAATAACTCCCGAAAAAGTATCGAGAGTATCGAGACTGGGTTTTGTTTTTATTAGCTTCAGAATTACATCAACAGGTTTCCTATTTCATATCAATAGCCTAGACGCGTAGTTTATTAATAAAATGATATAAGTTTTATTGCTGTTAAAATTTTATGGGAGCTATCATATGCTTTTTTGCCCTTGATAGACAAAGGAGAAATGTACCATAGAGCCTATATCTATTTTATTCTTTGTATAATCGATTTATTTTGGTAAACATTATTAATTTCTTTCCTTGTAGGTGACACTACCTGTTAAAATAATAGAGCGCTAAATTTAAAACACGTAAATAATGTATTTTAAAAGTCAGAAATACAATATATTTTTTCATCACAATTAAATTAAACGCTTATGAGGCGTGCATTATTGAATTCTCCAAACTCTTTCTATAATAACTTTAAAGACAAAAATAATATATTTGCATGTAATAATTTTATTTAAATATTTGTTTTTTATTTAGTGTCATTTTTTAATAACCGAGTTTTCGAAGTGCTTTACTTGATTAAAAGGAAACATGGGTGTTGGAAAGGATACAATGGGAGTCGACAGGGGTCGTAAGTACAAAACTGGGCGCAATGTAGAATTTATAAAATCATTTTTCAAAAGGGCATTGAAGAACCGCAGTTTTTTTCCAGCTACTTAAATAGAAACTTCGAGATGGATCAAGGAGTATCAGAGCAATAAAATAATTGAAAACATTATGCCATTGATACCAGACTCATGAAAGTAGAGGAGAATACACAGTTTACGATTATATTTAACTTTATTAGCTGAGTCATAGGTTTTGTTGTGTTTGGTTTTAATATTATATATTTTATGTCTAAAAATCTGAATTCCATACAAAAGTGGGACTGATTATAATGGTGACTGATGTTGATCATAAATATGAGGATAACCCGGCTCTTATCGCAAGGTCTGACTTTCAGTACGTGTTCGAGAGACTTGTGGATGCGACACGGCTCCTTGTTATGTTCCTGTCACAAGCCTGTGGGATTTGAATGCAGAATATTCAAATGGATACCAGGTATTACTATCCGACACCTCCTTGGGACAGATGATCGCCCTCCCGGTAATAGAACAAGTTGCCGGATTCGAGGATTATCGTGTCCTCCCCCTCTTTTCGGACACCAGATAATTCTATAAAATCCCAGCGCAAATTCGCAAAATCCCTACTTCCACCTCCAGTATCTTATCGTCAGTCCTCAGGGTACGTACGTTGAATGTTGCTTGGTTAAGTCGTATAAGGTGACAAAAATAGCGAGGCCTCCGGGGACAGGGGGTCGTTTCTTTGAAACTCTTACCATGTGAGGTGTATTGCCATAGGTGCCACGCTTGGCGTTCGATTTGGCAACCGCAGTTTTAGTTTTGTCAATTCTTTGACTTTCGTTGTTGGCCCAATGATACTTTAGCTTACTGATCCATAATAAGTCATAATAAAAAGAGTATAGTATCTACGTGGTAGAGCAGTCGATTCAACTGGGGAAGAATCACGCTTTTACAGAATACCAGCGTAAAACCAGCTCTTCGTATGGTCAGTGTAGAGAACCGGAGCCCCTTTTAACTGGAAACGAGGCATTCCATACAATTCCTCAGTAGCAATATTACTAGTGATTATGCCTTTACACTGTCAGGCGGCCAATACAACATTTGGACACTTTAAAAATGATACGCCACTGATACGCAACCCCTGAAATACTTGGCTTACGAATTAATTCTACAGGAAAGAAATCATAAAACCTAAAAAGAAAAGGAGACTTAGTTGTTAGTAGCATAATGCTCGAAATTGTGAAATAATATGTTTACTTAGGACAATTTCGCCGACGAGATAAGTCCAACTTCGAACAAAAAATCAATAAATTAATACAACTCGGATGAGGAGACTTTAGTAGGAAAGTACGATACGTTTTCTATGTCTTATATACTTAAAGTATACTAGCGAGTGGAATTACTTGTAATGGTACCAGAAATAAAGATATTCGTGTGAGTGGCCATAGGCCGGTTATATTATAATAATAATGTATTTGAGTATTTTGGGCCCTACTACGTTGATGATGACTTGGTGAGACGTGCAAAGAGTTGAGTGATGCAGGGTGGCTCAGGGACGTACTTAGCTGGAGCCATTATATTATTTATTATATTTGCAGTAGACCTATGTTCAGCAGTCAACGAATCAGTATAATATGTATAATTATTATATATAATTTATAAAATATAAAATACTTATATAATTTATTAAAATATTAACATTTTAATATAAATTAAACAATTATCAGTTTACATTTACACAAACATGCCTTAATAACACAAGTCAAGTATTATATGTAACCCAAGCAATTTTTTACCCCGGCAGTAAGATAAATAATCCATATTAAACATTAAATGTTACTATATACTATAGCTATAAAAATTTCACAGTTTTACAACAAATTTTTAAATAATCCGTCTTTTAATTGTCGTAATTTCATAAAATTTTTAAAATTTTTCAAACCTGCTTTTATTTCGTTCTTTTTGCTTCAGTTAGGTCCGCGCCGTGTAGAAACTGCCAACTGCACTAAAATCTGCAAAATAAAACACACGGAATTAGAGAAAATCGCCCTCCCACCCTCCCGGTTTTGCTTTCTTAGGTAGAATTTGTTATTAGCATAATTATATTATTTTATTTTATTCTTTATTTCAATTAAAATATTAATATCAAAGGACATAGTAATTATTTTTACTTAAATTGCGACTATTTGTATTGTTACAAACCCATGTTTGACATTTTATTTTCGTTTTAAGCATTTTTTAAGCATTTTATTTTTTAATTTATTATCTATTTTAAACTAGAAAATTTATAGACAGTAAGTATTTGTTACTGTACTTACTATTTTTGTTTATATAGGAGCAATATTAATAGATATAGTAAATAGCTACTTAACCATCGACACTTTGCATTTTTGCAAAGCTATTATTAGAATTTATTTTGACAATTTATCTTTTAATATATATTTTTTATTGTTTATTGTTTATTGTCGTCTTATTGGGCGCATAATTATTTTAATACTATTTGTTTTTGGATTGACAAAGCCCTCTGAAATTAAATAATATGTTCAAAACACCCCCGCAAAATAAGTTTGTAGCTTCGACGGAGGACTCAAATAAGGGTACCAATAAAGCAGAATTTTCGGCGGGAAAAGACAAGGGAACAACATCCCATGTAAGGAAAAGTGTTGGCGAACTTGAATCGCGTCTTGGTGTCGCACCAAAAACCAAGACTTCTTCCTTGCCGACCAAACATAAAACAAAAAATCCACCAGTCGTAGAGTGTGACGAAAATCAAATAGATATTGAGACGACCAAATATTTAAATAGAGCACAAGAGGCAAAGGCGCACGTGGTCAGAATAAAATTATTATTAAATAGCTCACGGAATTTGAAGACCGAAATTAAAGAAAAAATCACAGAAGCTGCAGACAAACTTTACAGATTGACCAAAGATGTTGAAGAAGGAAAGGAAATAACGTTACAGAAGGAAGGGATAAGCCTGGATAGAAAACAAGAAATAGAGCACGAACTAGTTAAGAAAATGGAGGAACATTGCAAATTACTCACAGAGTGCAGGACAGAGACCCAACGCTTAAGCGAAGAGGTGAAAAGCCACAGGGAGGAAATGATCACCTATGCAAGTGTAGCTGCAAAGTGGAATAAAGGGCAACCCGTGGAGTCTAACGCGACTCACTTGAGAAACACAATTCCGGTCCAAATGCACTCTATTATAGTAAGATCAGGGAATGAAAAAGATACAAGTGGCGATGTTATTGAAAAGATCAGACTGGCTGTGAACGCAAAGCAAAGTGGGCTCAGAGTAGAAAACTTGAGGAAGGCTAAGGACCAAAAGGTGATCGTGGGCTGTGGCACTAAGGAAGAGATGGAAAAGGTGACAAACCGAATTAAAGCCGGTGATACTGGGTTATCAGTTGAACAGGCAAAAAATAAAGATCCGTTGGTCATATTGAGGAACGTGCTGACAATCAACAGTGATGACGACATACTCGCTGCTATTAGGAGCCAAAATAAAAACCTGATGGAGTCCTTGAAAAGCGAGGAAGTAAGATTGTCAGTACGTTACCGTAAAAAGACAAGAAACCCCCACACAAATCATGTTGTTCTCCAGGTCTCCCCACCAGTATGGAATCGACTGACAGAGGCGGGACGAGTTCATGTGGATTTGCAGCGTGTGGTTGTGACAGACCAGTCACCATTAATGCAATGTTCCAGATGTCTCGCTTATGGCCACGGTAAAAAGCACTGTAATGAACTAGATGACAAATGCTCCCACTGTGGAGGCCCACACCTAAAGACCTCTTGTACCGCCTTTCCAGCTGGAGAAGTGCCCTCCTGCATAAATTGTGTTAAGGCCAAGATGGATCGCCAGGACCACAATGCTTTCGACAACGAGTGTCCAGTGCGCAGAAGATGGGACGCAATAGCCAGAGCAAGCGTGGCTTATTGCTAAAGTTGAAATGAGAAATAAAGGCAGAGAGTTAGAAAGGCAGGTTAAAACAAGGGCGACAAATATGTTAGTGGTACAGGCAAATCTTCAGAAGAAGGAGCTCGCAACGAGCGAATTAATGTTAGAAGCAAGCAAGGGAGGGATGAGCTTAGCCCTGATCCAGGAACCATATGTGGGGGGAGTCGGATATATGAGGGACTATCGGGGAGCGCGCATTTTTCAAAGCGGACAGACAGAGGGAGTAGTAAAGGCAGCGATAGCCGTATTTGACAATAATATCTACGTTACTCAATGTCCGACTCTCACCACAAATAACATCGCAGTGGTTGTAGTCAAAACAAATACCTGGGAGATGGGTGTCATCTCACTCTATCTAGAGCCGGATGTACCCATCGAACCGTACATGGATCAACTAAAGGATATAGTTACAAAATTGGGAAAAATGAAAATATTGATTGGAAGTGACACAAATGCTTGGAGCCCTTGGTGGGGCAGTATAAAGGAAGATAAACGAGGAGAAACGCTTTTGGGTACTCTAAACCAGCTAGATCTTCACATACTTAATAAAGGAGAAACCCCAACTTTCGATACGGTGAGAGGCGGTAAAATATATCAGAGCCATGTCGACATCACAGTGTGCTCGGAAAACTTATTAAGTCTGGTAGAGGATTGGAAGATTGACGACAGCGTGACAAGTTCAGATCACAACACTATTAAATTTAGAATTAATCAAATAAAAACAGTTGGGCTTAAAATGGAAAGAGTTACAAGATTATATGATAGTAAAAAAGCAAATTGGAGTCAGTTTCGTGAGAAACTGGCACAATTGCTAACAGATAAAAATTTAAAAATATTAGAAATAAATAAAATAGACAATAAGGTAAATTTAGAGTATAAATTAGGTGAATATTTGGAAACAATTAAAGAAACATGCGAGGCCACAATCCCAAAAATTAAAAATAAAAGTAAACTTACCCTGCCGTGGTGGAACCAAGAACTTGTTGCGCTTAAGAAAATTGTCATCACAAAAAAACGCCGCATAAGATGTGCTGCCGCGGTGCGACGAGCCGCCGTCGTCAAGGAGTACCTAGAAGCGAAAGACAAATATGAGTATGAAGCAAAAAAGGCTCAAGTCAAAAGCTGGAAGGACTTCTGTGGAAAACAGGACAAAGAAAGCTTATGGGACGGGATATATCGGGTAATCGGCAGAACAGCAAAACGGCATGAAGACCTGCCACTTGTAAAAAACGGAAAAATATTAGACAATGAAGAATCGGCTAGGATGCTAGCGGAAACCTTTTACCCGGAGGACCTATTTGAAGCTGACGACGCAGACCATCAGCGTATAAGAAAAATAGCCGAAGAAGTAAATGCAGGATCGCAAGATGATTCTTGCGACCCACCATTCACTATCTCTGAGCTAAATTATGCCTTGAACAGTTTCAAACCAAAAAAGGCTCCGGGAGGGGACGGCTTCACGGCTGATATCTGCCGAGAGGCGATTTCCCAAAACCCCGGTATTTACTTGAGTCTTGCAAATAAATGCCTCGAGTTAGGACACTTCCCCATTATATGGAAGGAAGCAGTAGTTGTGGTCCTACGAAAGCCAGGAAGGGAGGATTACACACACCCGAAGGCCTACAGACCCATAGGTCTACTATCTGTTATGGGAAAAGTCCTGGAGAAGATGGTTATAAGAAGGGTAAGGTGGCACGTTCAATCAGGTTTTAGTACTCGCCAATACGGCTTCACACCACAGAGAAGCACCGAAGACTCCCTCTATGACATGATGAATTACATACGTACACAGTTACGAAATAAGAAGGTAGTGACCATCATATCACTTGACATAGAGGGAGCATTCGATAGTGCTTTGTGGCCAGCAATTAGATGTCGGTTGGCTGAGGAAAGATGCCCTATAAATATTAGGAAATTAATTGATAGTTATCTCCAGGACAGAAAAGTTAGAGTGAGGTATGCGGGTGTGGAGCAAATACAAACAACTACAAAGGGGTGCGTACAGGGCTCCATAGGTGGCCCGGTTCTGTGAAACTTGCTTCTGGACCCTTTGCTTAAAGAGCTGGAGAAAAGGGGTGATCGGTGTCAAGCGTTTGCCGACGACATCGTCCTGTTGTTTGCGGGTGACACGGCTCTTGAGATCCAAAGACGTGCGAATGCCGCTCTTGAACATGTTCGGAGGTGGGGAATCCGTAACAAACTCAAATTCGCGCCTCATAAGACTAAGGCTATGGTTATAACTAAAAAATTGAAATACGATTCCCCTCGTCTAAACATGGGCGGGATAGGCATTGGCATATCGGAGGAGATTAAGGTGCTTGGTGTCACCGTAGACAAGAAACTCACCTTCAACACCCATGTGAGAAATGTGAGTCGGAAGGCTACAGCACTCTACGGACAACTATCGAGAGCTGCAAAGGTTAGTTGGGGCCTTCAACCAGAGATCATCAGGACGATGTACACGGCGGTCGTTGAGCCGATAGTATTGTACGCGGCGAGCGTGTGGGCGCCAGCCGCTAAAAAGTTGGGAGTCCGAAAGCAACTGAATACTGTGCAGAGAGGATTCGCTCAAAAGATCATAAAAGCGTACCGTACTGTATCCCTACACTCGGCGCTAGTATTGGCTGGTCTGCTTCCTCTGGACTTAAGAGTCCAAGAAGCAGCATCACTTTTTGTAGCAAAGCGAGGGAAACTCCAGTCAATGCTGGCAGACCGAGTGGTGGAAACAAAGGCGAGCTGCACGGAGTTGCCCCATCCAGCATCCGATATGGACCTGAAATTCATATGCCTGGTAAATGAGGACGAAACTAGACGCAACAACATCCAGAGTCTCCGAATATTTACCGACGGGAGTAAAATAGAGGGAAAGGTCGGAGCGGCATTATCTTTTTGGAATAGTGCCGCCGAGATCCGAACTCTGAAGCTCAAACTGTCGGACCACTGTACCGTTTACCAGGCAGAATTACTGGCCATATACATGGCAACTGAGAGGATCCTTTCTAGCGCGGAGACAACTTTCGGGGTTTACAGTGACTCTAGGTCTGCTCTAGAGACCATTGTAAACCAAGACTCCCAACACCCTTTAGCAGTCAAGACCCGTAAAAACATCCACAACATCTTGGGGCAACAAAAAACATTACAACTCTTTTGGATTAAAGCCCATGCGGGTCTTGCAGAAAATGAACGTGCTGACGAGTTGGCGAAACATGCAGCGCTGCGAACTAAAAGAAGTCCGGACTATGACCTTTGTCCGGTCTCCTTTGTAAAGCGTCTCATTCGATCGGAGACGCTACAAGAATGGAACCGGAGATATGCAGAGGGAGAGACCGCTAAAACAACAAAAGTTTTTCTGCCGGACGCTGAGTCAGCCCACAAAGTAATAAGGGAAACAGCGCTGTCTCCGACGATGGTTCAGGCAATGACCGGACATGGTGGGTTCTCCGAGTACCTGTACCGATTTCGTTGCAAAGAGAGCCCATCATGCATCTGTGAGCCCGAAATCGAGGAGACAGTGTTGCACATCCTTCTGGAGTGTCCTCGGTTTGATAAAATCAGGTATAATCTCGAGTTTGAAACCAATCTGCAAATTAAAAAAGACAATTTGCATATATAGTTAAAAGAAAAAAGGACAAGAAATAATTTTATAAAATTTTGTGAGGGGGTAGTAAAACAAGTTATTAAAAATAATCAAAAGTAAATTATTTATAATTATGTAAAATAATTTAAGATGACGAAAATGTAATGTGATGTTTGTAATTATTTATTTTTATTATTGATATTTATGTATTATTATTATTATTACTGATTATTTATCAAATAGTTTGAATCATTTTAGGAATTATTGAATTAATTAATTATACAATTTTATTGGTTGCAAAATGTAATGATGACTATACACTAGGTGCTTCCTTGTGTTTATACGATGTATATACAGAGAGAATGCACTGATTCAAAATTCAAAAATTTATAAATATTTATTTTATTTAAAAGTTTTATAATTAAATTGAAAGGTTAATTACACCAATGCATTAAAAAAGACTCTGAATACATTCGTCAGAGGGCTGCATAAAATAAAAAAATAAAAAAATATCGCTACTGTCACGTAGCGTAAGCTACGTGCAGTAAATTAATATAAGCGCAATTAGATACGAATTAAGTTAATGAGCAATATGAATTTTGTATATGATAAAAATGCTACTGTCCGTAGACCACAAGTATAGTCACTTAATCACAGGAGGGATTTCGTAGACATTGTTTCCTTTTCCCCATTTACAAGTCTACCTAAAGGAATGCTACAGAGCACGGTTCTGAGCCACGTCCTGAATTTCTTACCAAGTCGTTACTCCATTTAGAGAGGGGTCGCCCTACGCTTTGCTTACGAAGCTGCTACTTAAGAAAAATTCTTATCCATTGGTTGTCTGTTCTTCGAGCTATATAGTCATCCCGTTGCTACTTCAGCTTACTTGTGTGTTGGGCTCTCGCTTACTCTGGTTCTTCTCATCATTAAATCTATCAAGCACAGACACTCCGGTTCTCTATAGTCACCATACGAAACACAGCAATATTAAGCTGCTATTTGACGTTAGTCTTCTGTGAGAGTTTGGTCCTTCCAGGGTCGGGCCGACTCGCAAAACATTCACAATATAGCTGCAGTATGGCTCTATCACGTAAGATTTGTAAGTGTAACGCAATAATCTATATTGACTAGAAAGTTGATTTTATTTTTCCCATTTTTAGCCTTAGCTCATAACAATCCACCAGGTACTTTCCATAACCGCCTCTCACGACATCTACAGGACGTAATGTATTACTGAATTTTCTAACGCCACTATATCTATTTAATATAAATTTGGTTCTTTTTTCGCTTAAAGTCTAAGTATAGCCATTCAGCGGCGAAACACAGGCGGCGTTCTCAGCACGATACCGCGGGGGGTAGGACTGTATGATAATTAAGTTACTAGATTCAGTTTATTCTTCTATTATAGTTTTTAATATTGTATATAATAAAATTTATTAGCTGAGCATTTAATATATTATATCTTTTCAAATCCAGCCTTAATGCAATATTATAATTACATAGCTATTATTTTATAAACAATTTAGTTTTTTTTTAAATTATCTGTTAAATTCTTTATGTAAAAACAATAATTATAATTCTGTTCTCAGCACTTAATCCTTACTTAAGGCGCTACATTATTAACTAAGCTACTTCGTAAGTTCAAGATTGTAGCTTTACTTAATTAAATCCTTTCCCAGCTTTTCATTAAGAAGCAACAACACCCTAGTGGTAAAGACTACGAGACTTGCAAGTCGTGGGTTCTCATTTACCTTTTATACATAATCTAAGAAATAAAAGGAAGTACATACTCGTATATATAGTGTTAATAGTACTACTAGTATACATTTTATTTAGTTTTCCTATTTGTCTAATAATATCTCATATGTGTGTGGCGGGTAAGAATACTCACCACACTATATCTTCGGGTGGGTGTCGTAAAAGGCGACAGTGGGAAACTGAGGCAGAAGATTAACAGCAGCAGCATCTTTCTAATAACAGTAAAAAGCAATAAAAAACTGCGGTACCCAGCCGCTCGCCAAACGTGGCAACTATGGCAATATAGCCCCCATGAGCAATGGCACTAATAAACGCCCCCCAGTTCCCGGCGGCCCCGCTATTCCTGGCTACGATGGCGACCATGATAACGGCGGGGCAGGGGGTGCTAAGAATCTCCGGTGGAGGTTCAGTTGCCACCTACGATGACCCGATATGGCAACTTCTAACGCACGCACCCTGATGACTGACAAGTAGATCCTGGAGCTGGAAAAAGAGATAGACAATTTGAGCTGGAATATTAAAGGATTATCTGAAGTTCGAAGAGAGGGGGAGGACACGGTAATCCTCGAATCCGGCAACTTGTTCTGTCACCGAGAGGGTGACTATCTGCCCCAAGGAAGTGTCGGATTTATCGTCCGCATGTCTCTCGTTAACAACGTTGTAAAGTTTGGGAGTGTGTCGACGAGAGTTGTGTACCTTATTCTCAGAACTATCAGACGGTATTCGCTGAAGCTCATACAAATTTACGCACCCACCTCGGCATATCTCGATGAGGAGGTGGGGAAAACGTATGAGGATATCTCTAGAGCCATGCATTCCTCCAAAACCCACTATAAGGTGTTAACGAGAGAAATCAACGCAAAACTAGGCACAAGAGAGAACGGTGAGCTAAAAGTAGGGAAATTGGGAATAGGGCAACGGAACCCAAAGGGCCAGCAGCTGGCCGACTTCATGGAGAAAGAAGGACTCTTTATGATGAAGTCTTTCTTCCAGAAGCGGCCCCACAGGAAGGAGACCTGGTACGAGCTCGCACAGTTCGACAAAAAATGAAATTGACTTCATTATGACGACCAGCCGACAACTGTTCAGTGATGTCTCAGTGATCGCGAGGGTGAAAACTGGTAGCGATTACTAAATGGTTAGAGGCACACTGTACCTAAACGTTAAGTTGGAGAGTTGTCGTCTAATGAAGTCAACGGTCCCTCCCCCTTGTGCTCTAATCCAAAGTCCCTAAACCTTTCAGCTCGAGTAACAAAATCGTTTTCAGTGTCTAGAAGATTGCAATACAGTGGACGATATAAATGACAAGCTCGTGGAAACTGACCATGCGGTCGGAGCTAAGTTTTGCGAGACCCGCCGCAGAAGAACACAAAAACTCTCCGATCACACTCTTGATCTCATGGCTGTTAGACGGGAAATGAAGCTGCAGTCTTTGTAGATTTTATAGCATACAGGCAACTGAACAAACAGATCTTCAAATGTATGCGGCGTGACTTGGTGGCAACTTTAATACTGCTCGTATTAAAGAAGCGATCTAGCGGAACCAGGGCTCCAAAGTCTTTGCCAGAGATCTGTCTGCCAGAAAGTGATAACAGTCGAAGCTGAAGACCGAATGTAGCAGCATCGTTTCCGAGACACTTGAGATTTTGAGTGTGATTAAGAGGTTCTATGGGCAGCTGTACACGTCATCGTTAGAG